GGGTCGGCATGGCCCAGCCCTGCGGCACCTGCGAGGCCCGACCCCTCAGAGCACGGCCGTGGGCGTTCCCAGGCTCCCCCAGTGAGGTGGCAGGGCTACTCCCACTCCGGAGAGGGGTAAACTGAGGCGGGAAGCCGAGGAGTCAGGAAGGTACCTGTCCTCCAACAGACGCAGCTTTCACAGCAGTACTATTAGGGCTCCTCTGCTCGCATTCTGGGAATCACAAGCTAACAGGCACTGGGTAGGACTCTGTGCTGTTGGACCACTCAGGATGCCTTTAGAAAGCCGCGAGTGTTCAGGGGCTGAGTTCAGGCCCAGGGAGGCTGATGGGCACGTGTAAGGGGTGAGGCCTTGCGGTGGGGAAGCCTGCTGTGAACAACAAGCACTGTGCTTGCCTGTCCAGTGGGGAGACCAAATCCCACTGGAGCTGGTCGTCCCTGGGGCTGGCTGCCCGGGAGTGGGATCAGGGAGGAGCTGAACCTCAGGACCAAGGCTGGCCAGGCCGAGGCATGGAGGAGGGTCTGAGTCTGGGGATGAGGCTGCAGGAGGCTCTGGCACTGAGGCTGAGCTCGGAGGGCAGGTTTAGGGGCTGGGCTGGGGTGGTCAGCGTCTCTGTCTCTTCTTATGCCTGGCTCCCAGACTCAGCTCCCACAGCAGAAGATGCAGCTGCAGGAGGCCTGCATGCGCAAGGAGAAGAGTGTGGCCCTGCTGGAGCACCAGCTGGTGGAGGTGGAGGTGAGGGCTGCTGGGGAACATGGGCAGGGGGTCCAGGCTGAGGACAGCTCACCAATGCGCTCGCCTGCCCCCTACAGGAAACGGTGCGGCAGTTCCGGGGGGCTGTTGGGGAGCAGCTGGGCAAGATGCGGCTGTTCCTGGCCGCGCTGGAGGGCTCTTTGGACCGGGAGGCAGAACGAGTTCGGGGCGAGGCTGGGGTGGCCTTACGGAGGGAGCTGGCAGGCCTGAACTCCTACCTGGAGCAGCTGCGGCAGATGGAGAAGGTGCTGGACGAGGTGGCCGACAAAGCACAGACCGAGTTCCTCATGGTGAGCAGCATGGCCCTGGCCCGGCTGAGGCCCCAGAGACCTTCTCCCGTGGTCAGATGGAGGCACTGAGGCCCAGAGAGGGAAGGGTGAGCCAGGTCACAGGTTGAGGGGTGGGCCTCAGGGCCGTGCTTGCACTGGGCACTGCGCGAGGTACTGGGTCCAGTGAACGTCACTCATACTACAGAAGGAGTAGGTTTATATGCACATCAGGATGACCTGCTAGCAGAAACACCAGTTCCTTGGGGAGGAGGTACTGTGTTCAATTCACATAGAGGCACAGGGCTAGGGGTGACTTTGAGTCCTGGGGTCCTTTTGGCTTTTCTGATCCTTCTGACCCCACGCTCTGGGTGGCCCATCACATTCTCAGTAGTCCCCAGAGTCCTTCCGGCTTGCTTCACCTCCATTCTTTTTTTTTTTCTCCTCAGAAATATTGCCTGGTGACAAGCAGGTGAGATAACCTGGCTGTGCCCCTTTTGCCCTGGGCTTGTAGTGACACCTGCTAGTCACTGTCCACTCACACACTGTGTGCCTTCACACCCCTACTCACTACTTCCCTGTACCTTGTGTGGACACAGAGACACGTGGGTAAGGTGTTGTGAGCCAGGTGTGTGCGGGGGGTCACAGGTACCACTGTGTGCTGCTGCTGTGAGGCGGAGTGGTGGCTAGGGAGGCTTCCTAGAGGAGTGGGCTCCTGGAGGAAAGGACAGGCATTAACTGGGAAGAACTGGGGGCACAGCAGGACAAGTAGAAAGACAGCAAGTGCAAAGGCCAGTGGGCAAGAAGATGAAGCTGGTGTGGTTAACTAGGAAGGGCTGAGGAGCTCGGACCTCATCCCAATAGGAGGGTTTTACTTATATTTTAAAATAAATTGTAGAGCCGAGCGTGGTGGCACAATACCTGTGATCCCAGCACTCAGGAGTCTGAGGCAGGAGGATCACCAAGAGTTCAAGGCAAGGCCAGGCTGGGCTACACAGTGAGTTCAAGACAGCCTGAACTACATAGTGAGACTCTGTCTCAAAAAGCAAAAATAGGGGCTGGGGATTTAGCTCAGTACTGTGTCTGCCTCACAAGTGCAAGGTCCTGATTTTGATCTTTGTTACCACAAATAAACAAACAAATGACATTTCATGTTATATATATTCTACAAAATTTGTTTTTGTTTTTTGTTTTTTTTTGGTACCGGGGATCGAACTCAGGTCCTTGTGCTTGCAAGGCAGGTGCCAGAACCACTGAGCCAGATCCCCAGCCCATTTGTTGTTGTTGTTTTTTTTTTTTTTTTGAGAAAGGGACTTGCTATGTAGTTCAGGCTGGCCTTGAACTTGCAGTGATTTTCCTGCCTTGGCCTACTAAGTGCATACTACAAGTGTGCATTTGTAAGTGTACATTTTATGTTCCCTGGCATTAGTATATTCACATGCAACCATCACCTCCATCCATCTTCAGTACTTTTTCCTATGCCCAAACTGAAACTCCAGCAGAAGATTTAAGTGAAGGAGCAGTGTGGGGAGACCCTGGAACCCTCCCTCCTCCACAGGCCCTATCCTCTTGTCTAGAGGGCACTTCCTGTTGTCCTCCCCAGCAAAGATACCTCCCTTCACCTCTGTACCTGCAGGCTGCAGAAGATCCTGGCAGAGTCACCACCCCCTGCTCGTCTGGATATCCAGTTGCCTGTCATTTCAGACGACTTCAAATTCCAGGTGTGGAGGAAGATGTTCCGGGCTCTGATGCCAGGTACTGAGAGGGCGGACCCCGAGCTTGTGTGTGAGGGGTTAGTGGGGTCCCAATTCAACTCAGGAAGGCACCGAAGGCACCCGCACCTCAGCTCTGGCTCCCCCTGCAGCCCTCTAATCTGCACGTGGAAGACTTCGGAGGGCATGGTGTTCACAGGTGACAGACAGGGGGAGAGCGTTGCTGTTGGCAGACAGGAGGCTGGGGCTTGAGTTTGAACCACTGACTCCCGTGTCATCCTTGGCCAGGCACTGCCTCTCTCTGGATATGGAGACGAAGATTCCTGTTCATGGGGGTGGGCTGGGGGCTGAGGGTCCGAAGCGCACCTGGAACCCTGGGCACTGGCCTGGGTCAGACACTGGCTCTCGAGCCCATGGCTGGGGTAGCTCAAGCCTGAGCCTTGGCTCCCAAGGGTACAGCACATCCGGATGCTACAGGCCATGCGGCACATCTGACGCAGCCCTTGCTGTCTCTGGTTGGTGAGCTGAGACCCGGGTTTAGTCCAGAGAAAACTGAGACCCAGAAACCCGGTCAGGAGAGAGGCCAGGTGTGGTGGCACATGCCTCTGAGGCGGAGGCAGAAGCATCCCGAGTTCCAGTGTAGACAGGGACAAGGGTTCAGTCGCCAGGAACCCCAGCCCTCCACGGGATGACTGAGGACCAGGCCTGGCGATGGCCTGAGGCGACCTGGGTCTAGTTGGGGCCACAGGCGGCGGGTCCCTCCCTGGTTACCCGCAGAGCTGCCCCGGCCCGAAAGAGGGAATTGGGGCTCGTTGGGCGGCTGGGCAGAATGATCCAGGGCGGCCGGCTGACCGCGGCGTCCCCGCAGCGCTGGAGCAGCTCAC